GAGCGTGCCTGTGTGTGCGTATTTGTGAATTTTGTGTGTGTGCGTATTTGTGAATTTTGTGTGTGTGCGTATTTGTGAATTGTGCGTGCGTGTGTGTGTGTGCCTGTGTGTGTGTGCGTGTGTGCATGTGTGTGTGTACGTGTGTACGTGGGTGCATGTGTGAGGTGTATGATTTCTTTTCGTGTTAGTTTCATTTCGTTTTTTCCGCTCACTCTCCTTTCGTCCTGCCCCTCGCTTCTCTTGGTCTCTTGCTCTTCTCTCTCTTTCTCCTTCTATTTCTCGCTTTTTACGTCTCCATCTCTTTCTTTTTCTTTCTCTTTGTCTCTCTCTCTCTCGCTCTTGGTCTTGGTCTCTGAATCTCTCTCTTAGTCTTTCTCGCTATCTGTCTTTCTCATTTACTTTTCATCTTTGTATTGATCTACGATTCTCTTTTGATCTTTTTCGTTTTCTCTTTCGCTATTCCTTGTTTCTTATCCCCTCCATCTCACCAAATCCCTCCTCGCTTGCTTCTACCCCTTCTCTATCTATAAGTTTCTCATTTCCGCATCTCACTTTCTTAATTTCCTCCTAAACAAACTCTCGACTCCTCTCTCCAACATTTCTTTATTCTCTTTCTTCCTACTCTCTATTCCTTTCACGCGCTCATGCAGTCTCGGCGATCCATCGCAGCTACGATGCCGTTATTTAATCCAACCAATATAATAGCAATGCCGTGATGTCTCGGATTTTATTCCGTCAGTGATCCTCACATCTTCATGTCGTGTTCTTCATGTTGTTTACGATAATAGTTAGTATATTTTATTCATCAAAACAGGGTGGCTACGAAACAACAACATTGCTGGTTTCCATGTAGGCCCTGTTATTATACATGATACATCACTGTTACACACACACACACACACACACACACACACACACACACACATAATGAAAATGTAATAATAAATATACTAAAATAATATACCAAGACGAAATATTATACAGTATGATTATATAATACACGCATGATGTTTTTTCGGTTGCAGGGACACGTTGCAGCAGCTGTGTCAGACGATGAAGAAACAAATCATATCACGAGCATTCTACGGATGTAAGTCCGCAAGCCTATACCATCCTCACGTGCAACATACACATGCAGCTATTAAAAATAAATACATGTAATCATAGTTGTCACTAGTTGACAATGAAAATGATCAGCAGTGTTTCGTAAAGAAGACTCGTTCCCAATGAAAACTTTGAGCAGTGTGTGCTGTGGAGAAGTTGTGTTTTGAAAATGTTCACTAGAAATTCGATTGGCGATGCGTCATTCGTTTCGACGCTAACGATAATCGGGTTCTCAACAAGTAATGCTGCAATTTAGCACGATGAGTTGTCGTTTCTCCTGTCACGGAAGGCCGATATTTTACTGTCACGGTACAATCACCCCTCGAGGATAATGAGCGCGAGTGATCGTGCATGCATGACCACATCGTAATGATTGCACGAGAGCATTGTTACAGTTTCCACAAACGCAATTGTACTTTAATTTAATTGCTTCTCGGCGTGGATAGAATCGACTAAAGAACACGCTCGGGGGGGGGGGCATAGCAGCGTTTGCAGATCGAATTTCAGGCTCGTGTTTTGCTAATCGATTTTGCACAATGCGATTTCGTATAATGCAGCCAGTCAATCAAGTTGGGGATCACGTCTGACTCGTACTGCGCGGGCTCATTAATGGAAGCTCGTTGCAATAAATCCACTGACTTTCGCGCGCGTGTAACGGAGAAACTTTTGCGTCAAAAGTCTGTATGTCAGAAGATGAGGGAGGGATCAAATTAAACCTCGCGAAACCTCGTGTCAATGCTGATTCGATCGTACGGCGCCAAAGTGCAGACGATTATCTCGTGCCTGAACATACCCCATGCTGCAGACGATGATGTTGACAATAGCGGACGATGATGTTGATGCGAACTGACGCTGATATTGACGATAGCGGACGATGATCTTACGGGTTGGCATCTGTCTCGCTCGCTTGCAGGGCTGGCGTACTGCAGACACCTACGCACGGTGAGAACGCACCTGTCTGGCCTCGTTCACCCAAGCATCGTGCCGGCAGACGCGCCGTGCGATGCCACCAGGGGGCTCACCGAGAGCCTGTGGAGGAAGATGAATAAGGACGGCATCGTCGCCGAGGAGACGGAGATCATGAGGCTGGTGTACTACGGAGGAGTCGAGCACGAGATCCGAGACCAGGTATACCTCCCTCCCCCCGGGATAATCACCCCCTCCCTCTTCCAGAATGTCACCTGTATACTTGCCCCCCGGATTATCACCCCCTCCTTCTCCCCGCCGGATATCACCCTCCTCTCCCAGAATATCACAGCCCGTATCTTCCCCGGATGCATTAACCCCGGATTAATATCCGGCTCCCTGCCCCGGTATTATCGCCGCTCCCTCCCTCCCCCGGGATGATAGCCCCTCCTCGCCCGGGATAATCACCCCCTCCTCTTCCAGAATGTCCACTTGTATAACTTGCCCAGGAGGTCCGGATTATCACCCTCCTTCTCCCCGTTATAATCACCTGTACACTTGCCCCTGGATAGTTTTACCTGCGTATAATTACCTTCTGGATAATAACCGCCCCAGACAATCCATTCTGACAATTCCCCCCCCTTAAATTACTACCTGGAGCTACTACTTCGCCGCCCCCCCCCCGAAAACAACACCTGGAAACAATTCGTCGCCAGCCCTACCGAACAGTCACCCCTCCCCCCAACAATCCCTCCCATCACCCCTGGACAATAATAGCTACTACTGCTAGTCTTAGGTTTACCCTTCCTCGAAGGCTTTGCTGATAGGGATGTTTATGCGGTAATATGACGGAAACAGCCATCAGGTGGTCTGACGTCTGTCGAAATCACATCAGCAGCAGTTTTTTCTGATGTCGGAAGTAAGTCGAGACCGTCTGAACGAATGCATACGAATGCATCTGTGTGTAATTCGTCACAACTCTCGACCAATTTCTCCAAAAATAATACAACAATCATTCATAATTCAAAATAATAAACATAGAAGCATTTGGCAAATAACAAAAAGCACAGAATCACGCCAGGAGGGCGTTAAGCTGTCTTACCTGATATTAAAAAAATTATATTGATTTTAGGATTAAAACGTCGTGCGCAAATTAATTTCTGTCTGAGAGGTTAAGCCGCTGTTCCGCATTTTGCTGTGTCGCGTGTACAGTAAGTCAACAGCTGGTGGTGAAGTTTAACGTGACTTTATTGTCCCTCCAGAAGTACAGTTTACACTTCAGCAGCGAATCAATTATTCATTGTTTCCTTCCTACTGCTCACTTGCGCGGTATTCAGTTTTAGTTTTGTAGTCTATTTGCCGCTTCGTCGGTGAACCGTTTTGCTTCTCTCGTGAAACTTTACTGTTTTACTGATTTTTCTCGCAAATCTTTTTTGGGGAATGTAGTATTAGTTAGGAAATTATGTCTTCAAGGGTTTCGTTTTCATTCTTATAGTTTTGTATCTTTTTTTTCTTTCTTCTTACGTTCTTCTAATTCTATTTATTATATAACGTTATGATTATATATTTATATATATATTATATATATATATATATATATATATATATATATATATATATATATATATATTATTTATTATTATATATTATAACGTATATCATTTCATCATATTATTATTTATTATATTTAATATTTCGTCTACGTCGACGTCATGGCAGCTCGATGTTAGCAGTTCTCTTGTTTTCCTCGCGCGCGCAGGTGTGGCCCTACCTGCTCGGTCACTATCGCTTCGGCAGCAGCGAGTCACAGCGCATCAAGCAGGACGAGGAGATGCGGACGAACTACGAGAGGACGATGTCGGAGTGGCTCGCCGTGGAAGCCATCGTGCGACAGCGCGACAAAGAGATCATGGCCGCCAACCTCGCCAAGCTGTCGTCAGAGGGCAGCACTGACATCCCGCTCGTCGGCAAGGACCCCAGCCTCAGCTCGGAGGTGAGTGCGCGCGGGTTTTTTTTTCGGGCGTCAGCATGGGTTCCGAGAGCATGTGGGTGTGGTTGCCAGTTTTCGCTAGTGTGGGTGGGGTGTGCGGTTTCTATTTCGGTGTCTCCGTTCGTCGTCACAGCACTGTGATTAGTATCGACGTCTTCACAAGCTGTGCAAACCACCAATGTGTTTATGTGTTTTGGGGGGGAGGGGATAGTATTGTTTTGGGGGTGGGGATATTATTGTTTTGGGAAGTTGAGGCTCATCTCATGGCACAGACGAACGTGCAGCATCGATGTGTAAGTTGGTTTAATTTTGCGATAACATCTCGGGTTCTTGAGCCGTACGCCAAAAACACCACCGCCGAGAAATGGCGGCTTTTCGAGCCGACCTTGAAAAAATCGATCGTCAAAACTCGTTTTAAGTCGAGCAGAAGATTCATCACAAACTCATTCTAACAATTTGTTTGATCTGCGAAATCATGCGCCGTCATTCCAACATGAAGCGCGAAAATGTTCCCTGAGCGTGTATCGACGCGGTCGGTCTTTTGCCTCCGCGGTGTATATTTTCACGAGCGCGTCTTCTCCGTGAACAATGCGAAAAGCACGCGCGCGTAAGAGCATATTTGCACACGCGCTTGTGTAAACGTTGAGAATCATGAGCACTTCGTATGTTCACGATCCACTCGAACGCAAACATTTCGCAATGGCGGATGCCGCTCGGGCAAGAACAATCTCCCCCCCATCCCTCCGATCAAATAAAAATTCGATTAAATCCGTCGTGTTTTGCGTGTATCTCCCTTGCATGGCGACGCAAACGTGGTCTCTCTATCGACAGGCACTTTAGGAGCGTTTCAATAAAACATAATGCTAAATAAATACGAAATCTATTTACTGCCAAAGTCTTAATGTTTCTCTACTCTCTTTCGCCTATTATTGCCGACAATTTCCTGTAAATGCCGTACAAATGCTCCTATGCAACACACATGTACACCACACGTTCGCTGCCGCACACTGACACATATATATAGCATTTGCATGGCATTTACAGGAAATTGTCGGCAATAATAGGCGAAGGAGAGTAGAGAAACATTAAGACTTTGGTAGTAAATAGATTTCGTATTTATTTAGCATTATATTTTATTGAAACGCCCCAAGTGCCTGTGTCTCTATCTAGTGGATTTAGAAAGTCGCTTGTTATACGCTGCTTTGTCGTGTGTGCCTCAGTGTTTTTTCTCACATACATCTCGGCTCATGACGTGTCGTGTTTTTTTCCTTCCGTCAGGGTTACTGTTACTATGCAGGGAGGGCTCAGGAGGGGAAAAGCAACAATTTGTTCTCTATCACTAAGGCCTACTACAGCCTCGTTACTGAGCAAAGCGACACGGTACTTATCTAATAATACGCTAGCGTAGCAACCCTACGTAGTGAGAGTTACAAGTTACCCTAACCACCTGCCCTGCTTGTGAAGGGGCCAGCGTATAGGAAGTAGTGTCTAGGAGTGTGCCTAGGCTTGTGCTGCGTCGTCGTATATATATACCATGCATCTGTCCGTCTGTTGTTACAGCGTCGACTGAATGCCCTTCCCCCCTGCCCACCTACCCCCCACATATACACCCCGTGTGCTTGTGTTCTTGTTTTGAGCAAGCACGATATGATGCGGCAATCTCGGTAAAAACTTCAGGTACAATTTTCAGGTAAAAAATTAGGTAAAATCAGGTAAAAAAATTTCAGGTAAAAAACACAGCTGCTGCAATGACAGTATATCTAGACAGTGGGGCGACAACCATACAGACTTTCGCCTTCATTGTTTTCTTTTCTGGTTATCATCTTATCTGAGAATTCATAGAAGAGCCTAGTGTACGAATCTTACAAATTGAGACGTCGCCAAGACAGATCGAGACATATTGAGACATATATCGAGATGTACGAATCGAGATCTTGCAGCTTTCAGTAAAGCAGACATTGAGTAGTAAACTGAATAGGGCCTACGTGGAGTGAAAGAGGTCAGAGCAAATAATATACAAGCCCTGAATATTATTTTGATTGATTGGTTGACTCAGTCATCTTAGTGGATAGTTTTCCTGTGTTTAACCTGCCCGTATGGTCTTAAGAGGATGATATGTATTCATGAAAGCTGTGTCTGCGTAATAACAGGGGAAGTGGACTTGCAACATGCGATTATTGATAAAGAGAGGTCAGTAACTAGCATTCTCTTCTTGGATAATGAGATAATTAATAACCCAGTGGGTGCATTCACAGCGGGGTTTAGACAGGCGTTAATATTAAGTTCAAGTTTCCAGTCTAAATCGCTGTCGTGGTCGTTTCTGAGCGTGTCTGTAACTTGCTCTCACTGTGACGCGCGGCGCTGGTGTCGCACGCCGCTCTCGCGCCACGGTTGCCATGGCGACCGAATCAATGATGCTGCTGTTGTCGGCTGCTAATTGTCTCTCCCGTGTCGTGTCCGTGTCGTGTCCGTAGTATAGTGCTGCTGGAGGTGGATGCTGCGATGAGAGGCGTGTTTTCCCGTGAGTGTGAGTGAGTAGCATCGTAGCGTGTGCATGCGCGCGTACGTACTACATGTATGCCGCAGTGTAAGACCCTGGATGCTGCATGTTTTCTAGTTCGGTTAGCAGTAGTTTGCCACGTGTGTGCGCATGCGTAGTATGCATGTGCGTGATGGTGCGCGTGCGCGTGCATTTGAGCATGTGCGTGCATGCTTGTACGCGTGCATTTGCGTGCATGTATGCATGTGCGTATGCTTGCGCAAATTTAGCCAGA